ATGCCTTTCGTTCATGCTGGAAACCTCAGTCATTCTCTTGCTTTTTATCCTATCTATAGGGGATACCATCTCTCATAGGTTTTATTTTAGACATCTATTTGCATTTTCTCTCTCCTCTCTCTCCTTCTATCACTATTTCTCCGTTAGTTCAGATTTGTTAGTCTGTTAATATTAACTTGATTCTCTCACTCTCTTCTTCTACCTGGTTCAAGAGCTCTTACTCTAAACACTGACCTGATCATGTCATAAATATGCTTAAGATCTTTCTGATAACCATTTGGTTCCAAGTTGCCTACAGAGTAAAGTCCAGATTCTTGAAATATTAAGAGGCTCTTCACATTATGGAGCAAACCTACCTTTTCTTCCTTCATATTTTATTGTCTCTTTTTCCCCTTAAATAAACACATGATAATTTCAACACTCAAACAATTCAGAGAATGAATAATGTATTTTTGCATGTATTTTTCTATCAAAATGCAAACATTTCTCATCTGTACCATAGGAGCAATAGTATCTGTCTTGTAACAGTTATGTGGCTATAAATGAGTTAGTACATGTAAAACATTTGGGATATTGAGACCCACGATATGCTACAGTTTGCACTTTTTCACTTTATGTTTTGGTTAACTTTCAAGGTCTATACATGTAGATCAAAGTTATGTATTTAATACTTGCATAATATTCTATGATATAGTTGAATACTAATTAATTTTTCATTTTTGATGGGCATAAACAAACTTTCTTTTATACTATTAAAATTCTACAGTAAATATTTGTGTGTGTGTAGTCTTCATATTAGTACTTTTACTTCATAGACATCAATTCTGAAAAGTGGAGTTGCTGGGTGTAAGAGTATATACTTTTGAAATTTTATTAACTATTACCATGTTGTTTCTGACAAATTTGTAGCAATGCTCTGTCTATCTATCTATCTATCTATCTATCTATCTATCTATCTATCTATCTATCTAATCTATCTATTGAGTCAGAGTCTTACTCTGTCACCCAGGCTGTAGTACAGTGGCATGCTCATGGCCACTAAAGCCACGACATCCTGGGCTCAGGTGATCCTTCCAATTCAGCCTTCCAAGTAGCTGGAACTATAGGTGTGTGCCACCATGGCTGGCTAATTTTTTGATTTATTGTAGAGATGAGGTTTTGCCAAGTTGCCCAGGCTGGTCTTGAACCCCTGGACTCAGCAATCCTCTTGCCTCTGCCTCCCAAAGTGCTGGGATTACAGACGTGAACCACTGTGTGCCTGGTAGCAGTTCACACTTTAGCATTCTATGAGAGTGACTATTTCTTCACAGGCTTCCATTCTAGTGGGGAGACAGACAGTAAGAAAATACATGTTTAATGTCAAACGGTGATGTGTCTTGTAACTAAAGAGAAAGAGAATGATGATAGAGTGCTATTTTTGACCAGCAGCATTTGAGCAGAACGATGGAACCACATGATTATCTGAGGAAAAAGCCTTCTGAAAGAGAGAACTTCAAATGCAGCAGCATGAGGTGCAAGCATAGTTGCATTTTTACGGAGGCCTGTGTGGCTGGAATAAGGTGTGGGAGAAAGGAGGGTAGGAAGTGAGACCTGAGAAGTCAGAGACAGATCGTGTAGGGTTTAATTTTGCCAAATGGAGTGAGTGGGGTAGGGAATTGAGCAGTTTTTCCTCCCCACTACTTAAAACATTTTTCTCAGGACTGTTTATTGAATGGTTTTTTCTTTTCTTGTTCCTTTCAGATGTCAACTTTATTCCTACATGTATTGCTGGTCTGTTTTGTTTCTTGTATTTATTGAGCTCCCTATTCTGACACTAGAATAACATTTTTTTATTATTGTTTCGTAATATGTTTTTAAATAATTATTTTTGGTTATTTTGCAATACCTTCAGTTGCCTTTATCATAATATGTTTTAACAGTTGGTGGTACATAGAAGGCATTACTACTTTTTGTGTCATACTTTTTTTCTATAAATCTTTCTAGATGCAATTTAGAGCTTTTAGTTGAGTTTTCCCTAAAACAGCCCATAGAGATTTTATTGGAGTTACCTTAAACAGAGGCACTAATTTAGGGAGTTATAGATTTTTACATTATAGCATTTATCTTATAGTAAATTAATAGTAAGAACAAAAAGAACCACAAGAAGATTAATGACAAGCATTTATCGGTTATTTGCTATGCTATGAGCTCTACACTCATTGTGTATATTGCAATTTCTCTCTGCATAGTCTTCTTTTATAGGGGAAAAGGGGATATTTTGTTCATTTTTTAATTTCTTGGACCTATCGTATCTTCTTGTACATAGTAAGAGCCAGAGAGTGGATGTTAGCAATTGAAGGTTGCAGATTTAAGTAGAAGTAATAGCTATGAATATTTTCTCTTCATTCTGGAGTCCCTGAATAGCAAAGAGTTGTATTACTAAAGTTGAAAGAGGAAAAAATTTAAGTTTAGAGAACAGCCCTAGATCAGCATTTTAAGAATTTGGTTTATCTGTTTAATTGAAATTTAAAAGACTGTCAGACTTAGTTATTTCTTCTTTTAAATTTTTCCTTAAAAAAATAATCAAGTCTGCTCATGTACTTTTTGTTTTTTGAGTTGGAGTCTCACTCTGTCGCCCAGACTAGAATGCAGTGGTACGCTCACGGCCACCACAGCCTCACCCTGCTGGGTGCAGGCGATCTTTCCACCTCAGCCTTTCAAGTAGCTGGAATTACAGGCATGGGCTGTCACGCCTGGCCAATTTTTGATTTATTGTAGAGACGCGGTTTCACCAAGTTGCCCTGGCTGGTCTTGAACCCGCGGCCTTAGGCAATCCACTCGCCTCAGCCTCCCAAATTGCTGGGATTACAGGCTGAGCCTCTGAGCTCAGCCTACTCATGTACTTTTAAGTTTGAAAATTGATGTCCTTAAGTTCTGATAATTTTTTATGAGTGATTTCTTTCATTGTTTCTCTTTCTTATTTTCTATGTTTTGACATTAAGAACCTCTTAATTCAGTGTTGGAACTGCTGAATGAATACTGTACTTTTCTTATGATTTCCCTTCTATCTTTCTATATCTTTGTCTTTTTCCTCTAATTGCCTTGGATATCCCATCAGCTTTATTTTCTTTATTTTTATGTTTTTTTTAGAGACAGGGTCTTGATCTGTCACCCAGGCTGGAGTGACAGTCACTGCAGCCTTGAGCTCCTGGGATTAAGTGATCCTCCTCCAGTCACCCAAGTAGCTGGGACTGTAGGTGCATTGGCTTTATTTTCAATTCTTCTACTGAACTTTAAATTTCTATTTTATACTTTTGAGAGCTCTTCTATCTCTAATTTCCTTTTTATTGCATTTTTCTAACATTCATTATCTTTTATTATTTTGAGAGGCTACTAATTATACTATCTTTGAAAATTTCTTCTCCCTACATAGTCCAAATTTCCTCCAAGTTTTTTTCTGTAGTTTGTTTCTAATTTTTTGTTTGTCTTTGCCTCTTTAATAATAAAGGCTTTCCTCGGGGATCTCTGGGATCTCTCTTCTGCTCTCTTAGTTCTTGTGCCTGTCTTTATGCCAGTACCATACTATTTTGATTACTATAGCAATATAATTTGAAATCAGGTAATGGGATGCCTCCATTTTTTCCCTCAGAATTGTTTTGGTTATTTAGGGTTTTTTATCGTTTTAAGTGAACTTTAGGATTATTTTTTTCTTTTCTGTGAAGAAAGCCATTGGGATTTTGATAGAGATTGTGTTGACTCTGTATAATGTCAGTATGCCAGATACTTAAAATTTAATGTATCCAAACCAGGAGTCATTCATTGTTTTATCTCCATTCTGCTTTGTCCTCTCTCCAGAAAATTTTCTCTTTTTAAATAAAAATTTCACATCTTAATGTTATCATTTTCCTTTAGTCATTTAAGCCTGAAGTCATTCTAGACAATGGCTACCATGTCCGACTGTCCTCCAGTTGATCCCTGTGTCTTACTGGTTATTCTCTTAGTTAACTCTTGAAAGTCTATCATGATTGCTCATTTGGAATAGCTATTCATCCACTTCTCAGAGACATCTGTGTGCTCTCTAGTATCTCAATTATCTTACTACTCTGTAATTATTAGTTCATGTGTCTGTCTCCTCCATCATACTATGCTCTTACAAAGAAGGACCTTGAGTTGTGATTTTGTGCTCTCAGTGCCTCCTAGCTCAATATGTGGCATACAGTTGACATACTTATAAACGTTTTGCTAATATATGAGTTAGTTTGTCATTAGATATTATCTTTTTTAGTTTTAATATTGCTGTGAACATCAGATAAAGTAATTTTTTGTTCTGCTTTTCAAAAAATGTCTTTCAGTGCCTTATTTTCAAAAAGCCAAAAATAGTTTGTTTAATCATAGTGATCAAATATAAAATGGATTCTTTTATATAGTTATATATGATCTCCCGAATATATTGTATAGTAAAATCAATGATAACTACAAAATTGTTAGGGTCTTCTCATGACTTGCAACAGTCCAAATCCTCAGATTTATTTTCAAGTATGAAATATTGATTATATTTTCTTGGTAGCAGCAGAGCAGCAAGAAGAGTTTATATTCTTTTCGTAATACAAAAATACAACTTACATAAATCATGCCATCTTAGAATGGGTGTATTTACAGGGATGAAGAAAGTGTCATAAATCTTTATTCTTTGGTATACAATATAGTAGCTGAATGTTAATTGCTTCTAATATTTAAGTAATGACAGAAAGTACTAGGGTATTCTTGAATCTGAACGTCAATGCATGACAGTGGATACACACTTGCTAATAATTTCTGAAGATAGTTCATTCCCTAGTTTCACTTCATCAAATAAACAAAGTTGCTGCTCTGATGGGCATGTGTGAGAGATGGCAGTCGTATTCCATGACCAAACTTTTCATATGCAGCATGCAGCTGGCTGTGGGATTGCCAGGCTTCTTTTTATTTTTCAAAACCAGCTTCTGCTGACTCTTAACTCTGTGCTTGTGTTTTATTTGCAGCATCTGGCGAGGCCCCAATGTGAACTGCACAGACAGTTCTGGTTACACTGCTTTACACCATGCAGCCTTAAATGGACACAAGTAAGTGCACTGATTTGGATTGGAATCTTGTGTATTTCGTTACATGTGACAAAGTTGATTATGTCTGATGATGGCTTTTTCATGCTGCCTTGAGTCCACTGGACTTCGATGAATTTGGAGAGACACCGGGTGACAATGGTGGGAAGCTGTGCTTGTAGAACTGTTGCTGCGCGTGATCATGTGGAGAGGAGAGGGTACACAGAAAGGAATGCCTTGGAGTACTCAGATATCTTGCAGGGAGAGTGGAAGAAGTGACAGGACCGTGCTAGTTGTGGGCAGCTTTGGGGAGAGTGGGATAGGACCGCTTGATAGCACCCTTTGCCTTTTTTGGTGTCACCCAACATGAAAGTGTTCACTAGAAGTGAGGCTTAACCGATTCCTGTAATTATAAGCCACCCTCACTTATATGAACTACTTCAAAATCCTTCAAGTTTAGCTAAAGTATTTTCTTTTTGTCATTCATGATTGACTTCGGGTTTTAAACTTATCAACCCTAAACTTTTTTTTAACTTATGAAATTATGTTTCAAATAATGGGATAGTACATGTTATGGTGCATGAAAGAATGTATAATCATAATCACCACTTACTTTCCAGTATTTTAGCCAGGCATCCTGATGGTTTACTGACAGAGTCCAAGTGTAATAAGTCCTCTAAGTGATTCAGATGTTCTGTCCTTCCCAACCAGAGGAAAAATGACCCTCTTTCTTTATCTCATCTTTCTCTTTATTTTTCCTTTATGTGAATGATCTAAGTTAGCCTTCCCAGATCTGGGTCACCTCATTTCACTTTCGTTTTTTAGATGCAGTCATTACTGCTCTAAAAATGCTAGTTACCTTTTGCTTTCCCACCTAGCATATTTTTTTTATTCTGTGAATTGAGACAAAAGGGACTTAGTCATACTTGATTTTTAACTTTGGTGGTCATAAAGCTCTCAATGTAAGGAATTTATCGTTTTTTGTCGTTATTGATCACTATAACTTTTTTTCCCCTTTTAAACTGTGTATAAATTTAACACTATCAGTCTGTTTGGAGAATCATTCAAACTATATAAAATAATTATAACTTAATATTTCATTATTTGGAATCTTAGAATTGGAATTCACAAATTACATTTCTTTTCATCTAGAATTGTTTATTTTGCTGTATCTTTTTTTGCCAATCTATTCTTCTGTTAAAATGGAAAACATGTCTAGATATCTAAATTTTTTAGTAAGTATTATTATTTATTCTTTTTTGTACCCGTATCATCAAGAACAAAGGCAAATTAAATCAACCCAAGGCATATAGTGCTGCAGCCATCTTAATTGTGAATTTGGGATAGTACCATGTTTCTTAGTTATAACTGGGAAGATGAAGTCTGTCACATCTAATGGGCAGGATATCTTGGGCCTGACCATCTGAGTGATACCATTTTTCTTGTTCTTTCTCAAATTGGCATTGGTAAGCACTTCTCAAAGTAATATCGTCCCAAGATGGATTGGTGTTTATATCCCTCTTTGATTTTCAGTGAAGCATTTAGTAAATATTATTGATTTACACATGAGAGCCTATGAAGTTCTAGCCATTGAGATATGTTTTCCTGTGGCCTGTTGCATAATTTTTTGTACTTTTTGGCAATTTAGAAAGTGAAGATAGTTTAAGCAAATTGAATAGCAGTCATTAAGATTGTCATAAAGAGATGGGGGAATTGATTCTCTAAGATCCCTTTTGTTGTAGATATTCTGTGAGAATTATATATCTCTGCTTTTGTGTGAAGGTCTCATTTATCTTTTCTTATTGACACTTTCTAGTAACATTTTGCATTGTGCATCCTATAGACCTTGGAAAAAGCAGGACCACTCTAATTCTGTTGTCCCATCTTTGCTAAAGTTCCATCTTTAAGCCATCTACTTACTTAACATCTCTAGGCCTCAGTTCAATAGATTGAACATTTTGGCTGGACAGTCTTCATTGTTCTTTACAAGTATAACATTTTATAGTATACTGTGTTGGTATTATTTATGGCTTAGCTATGATGCTACAATTCTGAAATTTGGATTTTTATGATTTTCCATGTTCAAATTGTCTGTGGCCTTCTTTGGTGAGCCCTTATTCTACCCAACCCCTCTCTTCTTTTTCATTTTATAGGTGGAGATGCAGGGCCCAATTGGATAAGTGACCTAGCGGTCAACTAGATAGTAAAAAGGAGGCTGTGTCTAAAGCCTAAGTATTTTAGTTCTAAGTCTGTGCTTTTACCAGGACTCTGCATTATCTCCCCTTTGTGGCTAAGCTCTTTCTGGCTTTTCTCTGCCATGTTATGTATTTCTGGGTTGTCTCCCATTGTCATCATGTACTATGTTTACATGAAATGTTAATTTTAATATTGGCTTAAAGGATATCTGAAGGAGAAAAAAATCATAGGGTGTATCTCAGAGTCAGAGAAGGATGGCATTTCTTTTCTTTGCCTTTGTTGGTCTCTCATCTTAAGAATGGCTATATTGTTTTCTTCCAGAGCAAGTCTTAGCAGTTGGTATAGGAGCACATGATTTCCATGTTTTTTGCTGTTGCATTTTTGACTTCTAGGCTCAAATTTATGGAATCGTAGAGCTGAAAGAATGATAGAGCTGTATTATTACAGGGTCCTTAAGTTTATTCTTTTGCTGTGAGCATGGACTTTCTCCCTACTGCCAATATATAATCTAAGGCTTTTATATTGCAAAGTTTTTTTATATTTTAAACATTTTATTGGGTGCTCTTGTTTATCAACACTAATTAATCCACAAGTGGAGAAGCATTATGTGCCTGAAATGCATTATTTTATATTATATTGAACAATTCATCTTCAATTAGCCAGATCAAGACACAATGGAAAATGTACTCTATTGGTGATTTCTTAGTTCATTTGTAATTGCAGATTAGAAAATTATTACCTTCAAATGATAGGAAAAAACATGGTTAATAGAACAAAATCCACTAGCACCTAGTATAAATTATTTCAGTAGAGAGGGTAGAGGCCTCTCTCTTTCTTTTTCAAAATATAGGGGATTTATTGTCTCATGTATTTCTACTATAAATTTGAATCCTTTAATTCTCTTCTGAATAGCAATTGGCTACTCCTCTCTCCCTTCCTCTTTTCTTCTTTCTTTTTCCTTTGTCTTGACTTTCCTTTTTTCTTCTCTTCTTTTCATCTTTTATTTTTTATAATTATCTTTCCCTGTAAAGTTGCACTAACTAAACCTGTGTATTCATATTTCTTCTTCTCTACTTATCAAATTGCTCTTTATTTTTTTCTTGATAAGTTTCATGTTATTAAACCATATTGGGTATATTGTGATGGTTGGATACTGTTTTGAAAAATATCAACAAATTGTTATTGTATCTTTGAAATTTGTGTACATTTTGATATATGTGGGGTCAAAATATTTTCTATTCCTGCTTCTACCTTTTTAAGTATTTTATGCTTACTAGACTTCGTCTATAATCCAAATTATGTATCACATTGGATCTAGAATCCAGGTAGTAAGCTATCTGTATTTTTGATTTGCTTTTTCTTATGTTTTCTAATGAAAGAGAGGTATTTCCTCTACAAATTCTATAATCTGGTCCCTGAAATTGTTCTTTGAATAACGAAAAACATCCTTGGTTGGTTTGAGTCTTTCCTGGATAAGAATACTAACTAGTTAACTTATTTTATTTTATCTTTTTTGAGTTGGAGTCTCACTCTGTTGCCCAGACTGGAGTGCAGTGGCCGCTCCCGGCCACCGCAGCCTCGACCTGCTGGGGCGCCGGCGATCCTTCCCCCTCAGCCTCCCCAGTAGCCAGAATTACAGGCATGCGCTACCACGCCCGACTGTTTTTTTGATTTTATTGTAGAGATGAGGTCTTGCTGCCCAGACGGGTCTCGAACCCGCGGGCTCAGCCAATTCACTCACCTCAGCCTCCCAAAGGCGCGGGATTGCAGGCTGAGCCACCGAGCCCAGCTAACTAGTTAACTTTTGCCTTCATTCACTCTAATCTAGAAATGTATGAGTATGAATTCACTATATAAAGAAACTTTAATTAGAAAATGGAATGTGTTGTTCTGAAGTCTTTTGACCATACCACACACATCTGCAACTTTATTCCCACTGAAGAGAAGTGAAAGCTTCAAGAATCTGAAATCAAAAGGGCTTCATTAAATTTGAGAGTTTCATTAGTTTGTTAATTCTGTATCCATATAAAGATGATTTGCATTTATTTTGAGGTTTTTTTGAACTCTATCAACAAGTAAGAGAGTATGGAACAAAATAAACATCTTTGGTTGTGATTTAATTATAGGGGATCTCGCTGTTACGGCAAAGAAATTTGAATGTTGGTTGAATCTTCCCTATTTACCAATTTATTTAATTATTCCCAGAAGATACACTTTTTTTTTTTTTTTTTTTTAGTCGGGGTCTCACTCCTTCGCCCAGGCTGGAGTGCAGTGGCATGCTCATGACCACCCACTGGGCTTAGGCAATCCTTCCACCTCACCCTTCCAAGTAGCTGGAACTGCAGGCACGTGCGTTACCACGCCTGGGTTATTTTTTAAGTTTTTTGTAGAAATGAGGTCTCACTAAGTTGCCCAGGCTGTTCTTGAACCCGTGGGCTCAGGCAGTCCTCTCACCTTGGCCTCCCAAAGTGCTGGGATTATAGACTTGAGCTATCACACCCAACCTGGAAGATATACTATTGAAAGACATTTCATATTAATCAGGAGTATATTTATATCTTTCAGAAAATGGATGCAAATTAAATAAAGCAGCAAACATCTATACTTTTATAATTCCTATTTTTACTTGAACGTACATATGTTAACTTGAAGCTGTAAAGTATTACAGTTATTTGAATTAGATTATTATTAAATTATTTTGAAATTTTGTTTTGTTCCTCAGAAATGGAATTATTTTTCCTGTGATTCCGTCAACCACATTTACTTTAGAGATTTAGTATATTTCTTATTTGCCAGAAAGATATGAGAAAGTGCCACTTTGTTTTTAG